TGTTGTCTCGAACTCCAAGCACGATTCGGTCTCGCAGCATCTCATCCTTCAGAGCGCCATACTCACATGTAGACACTAGTTTCCTCAAGCGAGCCACATACGTTTCAATACTTTCTCCTTGTGCTTGTTCACATGTATTGAATTTGTATCTCTCATACACGGTATTCTTCAAGGGCTTGAAGTGCTTATCTAAGGCTTCTATAATCTTATCGGGGTCTTGCCTGGGGTCTACGTTTGGCTGATTTGGGTCGGCTGGAATATCTAAGTTTCTTAGAATGTCCAAGCAATCTCTACCAATCACGGTCTTCAGTGTTGCTACTCGGATTTCCTTTGGTTTTTATTCTTCTCTGTAGCAATCTCATAGCTGGCCCATTCATCTTTGAAAATTTCCCAGTTTTGCGCAACATCCCCTGTCAGTTCCATGGGCTTTGGTACTGGTAACAGTCGATTGTCTGCCATTTTTATGCCTTCAAAAGTCTTCTTTTTGACCGTCTGCCTGTGTTTGTTTTGATGCTGTCACCTGCCCACACAGTAACTAGACATTGACATATGCTTGTTCCTGGCACCTCTGACCTTAGATCCTTCTCGTTAGCAGAATTCCTACTTGTCAACTTTCCAGACGCTAAGGAATGTGTCCTATTTCCTGGGACACGCTAAAACAATAGAGCCCTTATGCCTACGCATGTGCTTGACTCACAGACTGTCTGGAAATTCTTTACAAGTTCTCAATGGAAATTCTTCACAAGTTCTTAATGGAATTTTCTCACAATATTCTATTCCATCAAAGTTCTCTTGTGCTCTTTAGACTAGCATTCTCTGGATGCTATCTTGGAAGAAAGACATTAGACTTAGCTGTCTCCTCTGAAGACTTTGGCTCTCTCTGTCCTTCCGTCTTGACTTGAGACCGTTTGCTTTCGTCTTCTTCTGTCTTCTTCTGTCTTTTCGGGTCCGTTTTGCCTTTCTCAGTTCTCCTGAACTTGCTGAAGGCCACTTCTTGACACCATGTTGCTTTTGCACGTCAGGAATTAGCACAGATTCAGTGCATTTCCAGTTGGTTTATTCTACGTGCTGTGTTAGTAGGTACAGTGCTCAATGCCGTCCAGATGGTAAAGAGATCGAGTCTCTGGTCTCAGCGTTACTTGGCAGGATGGGCTATACTATTACAATGTGTAGGGGTGTTATCTGTATTCTTACTTCGTGTAACAAGGACGATAATGAGTGTACTGGTACATGTACTGTCCTTACGCGTATACGTTATGGTTACTACAGGTGGTTCTTCGGGAAAATCAAGCGAATGGACGCGGAGCGACAGCTGCTGAAGACCGGAGAACAAGGCTCCTTCCTCGTGAGGGAGAGTGAGAGCAAGCTAGGGGAGTTTTCCCTGTCACTCCGGGACGTCAATAGTGGTAAGACATTGAACACAGTTGATCACATCATAGATAAAGAGATAGATAAAAAGGTTTCAACATTTGACTAAGAATCTTCTCGCACCTGCAACTTTTACACATTTACCTATTATGATCAATACTAGTTTAACGCTACAAATGACAAGAATGAAAAGCTTTGCACAAAAGAAAAGAAACACAAACTTTTCTGATTAGAGTTGCCGAGATCCAGCCATATGCTGGACAAGACAAGTCTTTGTATATAATTTGAGGAAATTATTAGTAGAAGAGACTGCAGATAGTTTCCAACTTCCTTGTTAATTAGCTGACCTGGTGTGTTAATTTTCCGCAGTGAAACATTACCGCTTAGGCCGGTGGGCTAACGGCGAGTTCTACATCAACCGCCGCACGACCTTCCCAGACCTGGCCTCCCTGGTGGACCACTACTCCACCGCCTCCTACGGGCTGTGCTGCACCCTCAGAAAACCACTGGAAGTCATAGAGAAACCGCAGGTAATTGAATGGCACCTACATGTCTAATACATCTTTACAGTTAGAGTGTCTCCAAGGCCTGGAATAGTAAGAAAAACATGCACTGGTTATTTTCGTATCCTTACTTGTATTATTCTATATTGGCAGAGGAGAAAACGTCGGTTTTTTCTTCCTCTTCTTCCGTTCCAGTTAAATTAATTAGTCAAGTAAGGTCTTACAGGAGATTATAAGGTCAATGACCATGGTTATTAGTGATGTTTTATCTACATGCAAATGTTACCTTTCTAGTTTACTATATGTGTACATACTAGCATTTGAATTGATTCTAATGGGTGGACTTGTATTCATATTTAGATCGATCTCTGCTACAACTCCAAGGACCAGTGGGAGATTCCCAGGGAATCCCTGAAGCTGATTAAGAAGCTGGGACACGGCCAGTTCGGGGAGGTGTGGCAGGGTGTGTGGAACAACACCACCCCGGTCGCCATCAAGACTCTCAAGCCGGGTAAGACGTTCAGCATTGAGTCGAACAGGGTTATGTTTTTTTCGTGGCATTTCTAACTATGAAACGATGTTTCTAGTTTACCACGGTATCCTAATAAGATATGGATGAATTGACATGGTTAGGTTAGGACCTATGAAAGAAACGATTAGATGTCGGACTCCCTGGCGGCTTTCTTTGGTACTGCAGCAGGACCTGCCGTTATGTCGCGTCTTGAATATGCCAGGGCCATATAATAATTTTTGGTTACTCCTAGACACCGTAGTATGGCTTTAGATAGCTGATTTGTGGATATGTCTGTCTGTCCAGACAGAGTAGGGGGATAATACCCGAGTTTAATATCGACACGCAGCATAACAGGAACTTACACTATCCTTACACATCTTGTTATCTCTGAATCTCTGACAGGATCTATGTCACCAGACGCCTTCCTTCAGGAGGCCGCTATCATGAAGAAGTTACGTCATCCCAAGTTGATCCAGCTGTATGCCGTGTGCACGATGGAAGAACCTATCTACATCGTCACGGAGCTCATGTCCAACGGCTCTCTCCTCGACTATCTACAGAGGGATAAAGGTATCCTGTAATATCAAATTCATACTTTGCATTAAAAGCAATCTGTATCGGTATCTGGATCTTGATAGAATCCATTCGTCACATTTGCGAGACTCCTCTCTGAATTGGTATTTGGGTGGTTATATATAGAAATGAGTTGATCATTGATCCTTTCTGAATTGTTTTTCACAATTTGTCTAATTCCCTGAAGAAGCTTACACTAAAGTGTAAACTGTCGGACATTGAATTGTATAGGTATATTTACAGGGTTGTTAAAATTGCTAAACTAGAAAGAGGAAAATGATTCAAAGCAGACGTAAAAGATGGATCGCTATTCTTACATCTGCTTAAAAATCAGAAAGACAATTGGGATTAATTAGGGAAAGACAAGACGGGAAAGATCATCAATGTACTGTGATCCGTCAGGAATAAGTTCCTAGCCTTATAAAACAACAAAGTTAACCGATTAGTGGTTTAGTTTTGATTGCGACACAACCCAAGGGTATATCATAACTTTGATCCCCTTTGCACCTTCTAGGGCAAAAAGAATGTGGCGAATATCAGATATCATGACCATCTTTTGTCGAAGACAACAATATATAGAATCTTAGGTAAATGGTTTGGCTGTACAGAACATTTCACTATTGACAAGATGCTTCAGCACCGTAATGTACACAGGGTGTTTCAGCACCAAGGACAGGGCTTTCTTTAATGAACCGGGTGTTTCAGCGCCAAGGACAGAGGTTTCATTTATGGACAGGGTGCTTCCGTACCAGTTCCATATAGGACAAAACTTTCCTTCATAGAAATTGCCTTTCAGCACCGATAGCAGAACTTTCTTGTATGGATATGAAGTTTCAGCACCAAGGACAAAACGTTCCTGTATAGAAATTGCCTTTCAGCACCAATGGCAGAACGTTCTTGTACCAAGTACAGTATGTTATTTTATGGAGGGGGTTTCAGCACCAAGGACAGAGCATTTTTAATCACAAGGGGTTTCAGCACCAAGGACAGAGCCTTTTTTTTCAATTTCGATCCTTTTTTTTTAATTTCAGGTAATTCGCTACGTTTGCCAGAGCTGTTGGACATGGCGACCCAGGTCGCCTCAGGAATGGCCTACCTGGAGCAGAACAACTACGTACATCGTGACCTGGCGGCCAGGAACGTCCTCTGTGGTGACAATAACATCTGCAAGGTGGCCGACTTTGGACTGTCAAGGTAACACAGCTGTAAAACGCCACCTAGCGTCCTATCTGTCAATGCAGGGCAGTTTAAGTCCGATACAAAATCGCCCTCTTTCTTTTTCAGGATGTATCACATTGGAAGACTGAATATAGAATCATCTGAATATAGATTCTGACTAAAACATTTGCTATATTCTCTTATTGAAACTCTTCCTGTATTTCAAATACGAGATATTCTTAAAAATCTAACATAGTTTGTCATATCTGATGCAGCATAATTATTTTTTCCGTTTAGAAAATCAAAGTCAATTTTGTTCTGTACTTTTTCCCCTTCAATATTACATTATGACCCGGGTCTACCTATGTACCTTTTTGATCACCACTTCAAAGTTAAAGATTATCCTCTTAGCCTTCCATACATTTGATGATACCAAAAGGGCATACATGTACATGTAGCTTCTGGTATCGTTGAGATTCCATCCCCTGTTGTGTAGGTTAATGAGGGACGGTGAGTACAATGCCAGTGAGGGCGCCATGTTCCCCATCAAATGGACGGCGCCTGAAGCCGCCCTGTACAGCCGCTTTTCTATCAAGTCAGACGTCTGGTCCTTCGGCATCCTGCTGTACGAGCTGGTGACGTATGGCCGAATGCCGTACCCGGGCATGACCAACGCAGAGGTCAGTCTTCAAGGTCGCAAAACACATGACCTTCAAGTGCACCCCGTTTGCCTGTATCTGACCTTTTAAGCTCCTACCATTCTGCCTGCCATTCTATCCCCCTCCCTTGTCTTGTCTGCATACCTTGTCCGGACAAACATTCAGACAAACCCACAACTCACACACCTAAAACATTACTTCCTACCCAGCAGTAATCATTGTGAACTAGTACTACTACAAAGTTAGATGACAAATAATATAGTCCTGGGTTGCATGTAGTATAGCACAGCCTACTCTCTTCTTCCCGGAGTTACATTAAAAATATGATCCTTATTAGGACATTCACAAATAGACTATCCTTGCCAAGTGTCAAAGGCAAAACCAAAAGCGTAGACAATGCTTTATGCATGTCCAGAAGTATTTGTTTACCTCTCGGAGGCCTTAAAATGTACTACTACATGTTACCCACAATGGTTCATACTGAGCAGTCGTGATCCCCCCTCTCGTCCCCAGGTTCTGACCCAGGTGGAGAAGGGTTACCGGATGCCCTGCTCGCCAGGCTGCCCGGACAGTCTGTACCAGATCATGCTGGACTGCTGGAAGAAGGACGAATGTGAAAGGCCAACCTTCGAGTCGCTGCAGTGGCGGCTGGAGGATTTCTTCGCGCTACAGGGTAGCGACTACAGCGAGGCAGACGTCATTAAGTAAACATTGCCCCGGACACGGCATCAAAACATGTCTGGTTTACTGATCGGTCGTGCATGGGTAGAAAACATAAGGTTGACAGGTTGGCCCCTTATATGTACTCGACTTTCCACTACAAGGAGATCGCTGAACGATGGTTGAGCGATAGAACTTGAATTTGGGTGACCCTTGATCTCTTGATGTTATATTTAAAATATAATGCACGATGTTATAATTTAAAAGGCAAGAAAAACACACAAAACGTGAAATTCGTTATTTATTCATTCAGAGATCTGTCTAACATTTCATCGCACAGCCGCAGTAGCTTCTAGTGAAAAGGGGACATATCTAACAGAAAACATCAGTGTACCTTGACACTATACTATTCCCGTACGTATGCTAAAACAACGAAAACAATGAGAAATTGATCCAGTAATACCAAGTGAACCATTAATCTATGTTATAATCTGCATCATTTCCACTCACAATTAACAATTATAACAAAAAATCAATATTTTGGTAGTGAGAATTAATTTTAAAATCAAATGGTGTGATTTGTCAAATCTATTATTTTAGTAATAGTAACTTAGAATAAGCAGAAATACACCAGATAAGCAAGCCTAGTCATTGCACAGAATTGTGATCATCATTCTAATACAAATAGACGAGACATTGTATTATTTATTGTTTGAATGAAGTTGTGTTTCAGCCAATAGTTGAGGTTTTGCTTTCTATCCTTTAGGTTGGCAATAATTAGAAAAGAGACGATCAAATGATGGACAGATACATCCAAAGATGAGTAGATATCTGTCCGAAGAAGACGATCTACTTGTGGGGTCATATACATAATGAGTATGAGTCAGTAATAAAATACTGACTAAGGGATTGCAAGCTCAGGATGGTCGGAGTAATCAAATTTAAATGGTTTTGTGTTCGCTGTTTAGTTTGCAATTGCACAATTGTGTCTGTGACTCTATGTACTATATGGATCTAGTCACTATTAGCCAAGATTCTCGGCATTTAACTATCTAGCAAATTATTAAATACGACGGATACAAGGTACAATAGCAACTACCTGTTCCTTCAGAGTACTTATGTTTAATGTTAGAGAATTGAATATTTATTCAGTTGTGATATTGAATCAGGTTGATTTCTCAAATTATACTACAACTTCTCGATATCCATGTGTAGAAACCGTCCATGTGATAACATCTTTTGGAATCAAGTATTTTGTCTTATGATTTTGGGTACTAGCCCCTAATCCGCGGCCATCGCAACCAAATTCTCTACATACTAGCACCATATGACTGTCAATAATATGTAATTTACTGCCAGTATGACTGTCTGTAGTAATTTATTATATCCGGCCGGCCCTGAAATAGTAATGGTATCTGAAATTCTAGTTACGCCTGGACAGCATAATCATTTGATATACAACGTTAAGGGTGCAGCCATGGGCAGACGTGAAGACTGTTCAACGTGCAATGTACGTACTGCGGTATAGTTCGCGTATTAGTCGCAAGGTGGCAGCATGCATCACAACAAGGCAATTCTTTCCATTGCTGAAATTCGGTGTTCTTTTGGAGTCAGTTGGCTTGTATGTTTTTGCAAAGTTTCAATAAAGCAACAAGAATGTCAACACATTGTTTCCATGTGGTCTATTTGCATGCTGTAGATATTAGTACAATGTAGATCTCAGTAGTATTAACTTAATCATCGTTGGGCTTATGCTATGGCTTGTGTGGCACCAATCCCACTTAGCGTTCTTATAGTTAGTTGTCAGTGATTAGCCTGACTAAACGTAGGGAGAATATGATGTCGTTTAGCCAAAACTTGCAAGTCGTCCATGGTTCAAGTTTTTTTTTTATTTTCAAGTATCTTTTATATACGTAACTCAAGTCCAGGAAGAGTGGTGTGAAAATGCACACTAATGGAGATCCTAAACAAACAAACAGACAAACAAACAAACAAACAAACAAACAAACAGACAAACAAAAAATAAAGGTAAGTGCTCTTCCTATACATCCAATTTATTGTCCAGAATTGGTCAAACCTTAGCAAAGTGTCCCTCTAACGGCGCGGTCATATTCGTCTTAGGATGTCCTAAGATTTTGTTTGTCGTAATATTTTCAGCTGGCTGTGACGGAACCAACCACCAACAAGAATATCAGACAGCTTTCTCTAAAAATGACTCATGAGCTTTGTACGGCATTTCAGCAACGTATATGACCGGGCCCTGAAATACTGGTCCATTCAGGTGTCTTGTCGTATAGGTTACGATGAAAGACGTTGTGAAAGACGTTGTGAAAGATTTCAATGTAAACCATGGCACAAGAAAAAAAGGATCAAGACCATTGTTCAAGAAATGAACCTCAATACGTTTTTGCAACGTTTGCTAAAACGCACGGTGGGTTTCTAGTCTGAGCCTCCAAAGATATCAAGAGATAACATCTTCGCTCACTCTGGAATCATGATACAAATGTGTGGAACAAAGTTCGTCCAAGTGCATCGCTCCACGGTCCAATTCATGAGAACGAAATTGAATTTGAACGAGGATGGACTACGACATTGACGAATTGATTGCGGTCGGCAAATGACAACCCGAATTCCCCATGAATTTTGTCTTCATAGTTCATGAGTCATTTGGATCATAACTGCGGTGAAAAGTTGTAAAATATTCATGTCTACTTTCAATTTACATCGGCCCGACGCGGAAATCAATGCGAGCCCATTATTGCGGTTGGCCTCTTCGTCATCTGTATTTTCGCGCGGTCGCGAGCGGTGATTTTTGCGGAGATTTGTGACCGACCTTCGTCCCCCCAACAACTTTTAATCAACTTTCCGTCTGCTTTATAGACTCTCCCCAGCGGCGTGGTTTCCCTCACATAAATAACGTCCATCTGCAATATTGGCAGCTGCTCATATAGCGCGTTATGAGCTGTCCGCTGCCGGACGGCGTGATTTACGCCGAGATGAGGCTGTCCCCTCTCGTTAGAGCTGCGGGAGGGGGCGGGAGATTGCCCGATCCATCAATGTCTTCACTAGCGTCAATTCGCAGCCCTCCCCGCGGACATACAACCTGTGTGGACCCCGATCGATGCTAATATTCTCCTGTCACCGCGCTTATGGAATAGTCATCATCTACTGCGGAGGAAACTCAGGTGACAGACATCACATTTTGGGCAAAATAAAGCGACGTAATGCCACTTAATTACTTTCTAGAGAACAGAGAATTAAGAAAAGTCACATTGGGCGAATCCTAATGGTTACAACGTCCTCAACGTTAAGATAATGGAATTGGCATTTGGAAAAAGCGTTTGTAAAGACTTTTAAACTGCCACCGTATGACAGGTGTGTAATATGCTATAGGTGCTTCGGATTGTCAACAAGAAATAGTGGCTGGGGAACTTGGGCGGTTTGTTCGTTCGTTCGTTTGTTTGTTTGTTTGTTTGTTTGTTTGTTTGTTTTATTAGGACCTTCATTAGTGCTACATGGTATCATGGCAGATCAGTTGCTGATGCAATTCTATTTATGTTGTCTTCAAATAAACAAATATCCATGTGAGGATGATCTGAGTAAACATTAGCGTACATGTACAGTGAGTCCTCTTCATTGGGCTGCTGGTAAACTCAACGAGGATGAGTGTGATTATCGTTAAGTTTATACGATTTTGAGTATTAATGAAGATTAAGAAATCTTTGTGAAGGTTGGTGTCTCAATCAGACTTCTTGGGTCGCTGGAAAAAAAGATGAGTTAGCCGGTCATATAGTTACATTTGTAATTGTTCTGGGAAAAACTTGTACTCCAATGACAGGCCAAGCCCTCTGATAAACAAAACTCATTATGGCCATGTTTTTCTAGTCTGCCAGAGGTCTGGTAGAGACTAGATACCTTCAGCTAGAAGAACACATAAACGTCCAGGGTAACCTACACACGTTTCCTCTAGCCCTGCCCTTACACCATGCGTTTTCAAGGTATGCACATTACACGGTGTAGAGTAGAGAAAATGCGTCTGGTGCCGTATTGTACTTAAAGTAAGGATGAGAGGGACTGGCCTAAGGGATACAGGTGTGATTTTCAGAAACCAGTCAATGAAACAATGACTCTTCCATCGCCATTGTGAGGAGATTTACCATCTCTCTTCCCCTCAGTATGGCAGGAAAGAGATTATGGATATATACTGCCGGAGTTGAACTGCAGACATCGGGCACATGTTCTCCCTGTCACGTGGTGAGTTACGGCGCGGTCACATTCGTTGTAAGCCGTCGTACTGTCCCACATATAAGATTTTGATGTAAAAATTTTAATCCTGGCTGTGACAGAACCAACCGGCAACACGGGGATCTAAGACAGCCTTTCTGCATCATCCACGACTGCCCCAGGAATGCCTCCAGTTTGCGCATCAAGTTACCGTCCCCTCCATCTGCTTTCCACACCCCTTTGCAAACTGGACAAAAATAAAGCCGTGCTTTTTTGTCAACATGAACATCAGCATTAAGACTGTAGAACAGTGTCCTCATGCGTGCGTCTTCGAACAAAGAAATGTGTCAGATTCGTCAAGATATATGATTGGCAGCGGCGGCTTGTAAAACTCATGGCAGTTTATCATTAGACAGACAGCATAATATGCCGCTGAATTGTTGAAAAGACGCATGATTCAGTTTTTGTATACGATTAATGGTCTCACAGAATAGAACATGTTTGTTGGCAAATACTATTCCTTCGATCAGTTTTAGGAAACCATCATAGCTAGAAACTGTTTCTGACATTGTTACGTAGATCTATCAAAATTGCTCATGTACTGTATCAACAGGTAACAAACTTTTTGTCCTTGGTAAACAGTCAAATTTTGAATGTGAAGGCGACAAGAAATTCTCTGTTTCGCAAAAGTCTTCTTTGCCTGGGAAAAATGTCATAGTAGTTCGAATTCCCACACCTCCAAACTATGTGACCAAAGTGCGAGTCTGTGACCTCTCTTATATGATAGCTTTTTGTCTGAAACGTGAAAGCCTGTTGTCTATTAGTTATATTCTCGGCCTATATCTATGAAGTTGTAGTTTTGGGAAATTAAACAAGTGAGTCACCTTATAGGTCACCTGCTACTGATACTTTTGACTTGTATCTTGTAAAACTTACTTTCTGCCCACCGGTACAAAAAACAAGGTGTAGAGATATGAATCTTACAAACCCCTTATCACACCCACTTGATTTCGGACTGCCCGTGGCACCACTTTTTCAATCTATATTTTTCATTTAGCAGGGGCTTAACCTGTATGGCAGCTCGCGGTCCTATATATCACATACACTTGGAGAGAGGGCTATGAAAGAGTATGATAAAATGAATGTGAACCTGCGAGAGAAGTTTATCATGGCAACGAGCCAGAAAATTGAGCTATGGCCATGCCTCCAGGTTCAACATGAGTAAAAGATACGCAGTAAAAGTTGAACCGTAGTACCTAAGGCACCTTGTAAAGATCCTTCCGCGCCAGAGGCGGCCATTGGCCTAACGATCCCATAATGCTTGTCTAGATTACTGCAGGAGGAACATTACACCAGAAGTCTGGCCTAAACAGCCGAGCTTCGGGCGGAACTTTGTAACGCATTAAACTTACAGGACATTAATACTCAACTTTTCTTTCAGCGCGCGCCGGCATGCAATAAAA